ATTACGCCATGCTTGCGGCACGAAGAAACCGAATTGCGTCGGCTTGATGGTTTACTCCAATTCGTTAATGCCGACTATTGTTGAAGCGAAAGTACCCACACGATCTAATAGTCTCGATAAGGGGAGAGTAGTTTTCGGCGAGCAGTATATTTCATTTCGGGTTCTACGACGGACGGACGGAGACAGTAGCTGCATTAATGGCGTTTTCGGCTGCGTGCGGAAATGGTTGCTATGTAAGACGGGGGGGGGGGTAATATAGAGGCGTTGTGATGGCGGCAAGTGATCTGCGTGTTCGTCTGCCTGCCATCGTCGTCGTCTGCGGCTAGCTGTAATATACATATATGCGTTATGCGGTGCTTTGATTTCTACGACAATACCAAGCGGGCGTTCGTTGAGGGGGAGTGAGGAAGGGCGAAGCGCTGGTTTAGAACGATAGGTGTTCGTTGAGGGAGAGGGAGGGAGGGGAAAGCGCTGGCTTAGAACTATAGGCGTTCGTTGAGGGGGAGGGATGGAAGGGGAGCGCTGGCTTAGAACGATAGGCGTTCGTTGAGGGGGAGGGATGGAAGAGGAGCGCTGGCTTAGAACGATAGACGTTCGTTGTGGGGGAGGGAAGGAGGGAGGCGCTGGCTTAGAACGATAGACGTTCATTGAGGGGGAGAGAGGGTAGGGGAAGCGCTGGTTTAGAACGATAGACGTTCGTTGAGGGCGAGAGAGGGGGAAGCGCTGGCTTAGAACGATAGGCGTTCGTTGAGGGGGAGGGATGGAGGGGAAGCTCTGACATGCGTTCGTTGATGGGGAGAGAGGGAAGGAAAGCATTGTCTTAGATCGATAGGCGTTCGTTGCGGGAGAGGGATAGAGGGGGCGCTGGCTTAGAACGATAGACGTTCGTTGAGGGAGAGGGAGGGAGGGGTGCTGGCAACGAACGATAGGCGTTCGTTGAAGGAGAGGGAGGAGGAGCGCTGGCTTAGAACGATACGCAGAAGAGCGGGAAGAGTTTTCCGAACATCCGAACATCCGAACATCTGAACATCCGAACATCCGAACATCCGAACAGCCGAGTTGACCGTAGATGTCGCTACAAACGCTCGCGCACGCGGCGCTGGCTCGTGTGTGCTGGCAGTCTGGATTACGCTGTGTTTCCAGGCGTGAAAAATGGAAGCTCAATGTTAACCGCCAAAACGAACGGATTTCTTCTCTCTGCTCGTGTTTTTGCAGGCGATGCGCGTGAATGGCGTACTGAATACGGAGCGCCCCCTGTGAGAAAGCATTAGAAACGATTTTCGATCGGAAAAGAGGTTCACCGACCCTCCTTTTGGTTGCTGATTTTTCTTCTTGTTTTTGTTTTGCTGCCCCTTTCCTAAAAAGCACGTATGAAAAATTCACGAATGTCGTTTTCGTGAATAGAGACGTGTACGTGACAGTGAAAAATCTCTTAGGTGTGTATGGAGAGTAATGATTCGTGAAGCATGGGCTTGGCCTCAGCACGCTCATACACCCACACGTACACACGTACACACGTATTGTCGTTAATAAATGTTTGATTATGTATCCGTAGTATACCTTCCGTCATCAGTAACTATATAATAATATACGCATACGCTTGGTGCTCCCATTCATGAGTCGCAGTTATACGACAGTGCATGATCGACTACTATAACAAATTAAGCACTGCATGCGTATATGCACGTGCCGCACTATTTGCTATTTGCTGTGATACACTGCTACCGTTTAGCGCGGTATATACAGTATAACCTGTTATCTATGCCACGATGATGTGCGAGACTGCAGCATGATAAAAAATGCATATATCGCCCCTTGCGCTGTGATTGCCTCCACGGTCATTTTAACACACTAGCGAAGGGCACGAATTTAATGAAATTGTCAATCGACATTTTATATCTTCGTTGCGTGATGGTGCGCGTTGTGGCTCACACAGTCCATCGCAAGAATCAATTAACTTTTACGACTGTAAAAATTGAAGAGGCGTTAATAATGTATGGCGCTCTAAATGCCCACAAAGGTAATCTAACATTCTGCGCTAAAAGCAGCAACAAAGGGACGAGTCTAGTGAGAGCAATGGACGGTGTAAAGACCAATTAGATTCAATAGCAAAATCGCTTGCAAGGAATAAAATGGCACTCTATCGCACAAACATATACACGCATGATACCGTTACACATATACCGACACATATGCGACCACGACACGTACACGCATACGTACTCACACAAACGCACGCGCGCGCACACACACACACACACACACACACACACACACACGCGCGCGCGCACGCACGCACGCACGCACGCACGCACGCACGCACGCACGCACGCACGCACACACACACACATGTGCATGCGCGCAAGGAACCAATGCCTACTAAAAATCATGCAACTAATAAATCAATTTCGAGACGACGGCTCTTAATAACATGCGGGTCCCTCCTTCAACTTATTAAACGAAGAATGAGGTAAAACTGAAAAAGGCTTTTTTTGCCAATTCATGAAGTTCTACTGAACAGAATCCGGGGATAACTTGACTTCAAAATACATTATTTGCCGTGCCATTAATCACTGTCTGGTGGTAAGAGGATTTTCTCTTTAGAGACCGCAACTAGCTTCGAACCGGGTTCGAATCCGCGCGCTCGCCGGATTGCCGAGTGCCGTATCACCCGTGCGTGGGAAATCGCTGAGCTGGCTAGGCGAACAATTCCTACCGCAATGTTCAGACTGTCGCGACTGCACGCGGCTAATTGAGTCGGGAGCCGCGAGTACACACGCACGCGCGCACGCACGCACGCGCGCACATACATACGTAGATGCACACACTCAACTAGACA